TATGTGTTGTACTCCTTGTTATTGTTGAGTTGGCTTCGACATTGTTTTATGAGATTACGAGACTTGTTATTCTAGGTTCTCTGATAGTGAGGTTTGAGTTTATGTTCACAAGTTAATTGCTTTACTTCCATTTCCTATTTTTTTTCCTGTTATTATTATTACTATTGCGTACATGTTATTGTAAGTAGCCCGCTTTAGCCTCGTCACTACTTCGTTGATATTAGGCTCGGCACTTACAGAGTACATGGGGTCGGTTGTACTCATACTACACTCTGCACTTCTTGTGCAGATACTGGAGTTGGTCCTAGCGGCGTTCAGTAGATTTTGCTCAAATTCAGTCGCTGACGGAGACTTGAGGTACAACTGTACGGCGTTCGCAGCCCTGAAGTCCCCTTCCTCCCTTTCTTTACTGTTTTATTGAGTTTCAAAATAATGTAATTTTTCAGGCCATGTTTGTAGCACTCTAGATGTTCATGTACTCATGATAATGGCTTCTGGGTTATGTTTAGACTTCGCTGTTCAGTATTATTTTACTATACTTTAGACTTATATCATTTTTATTTTTATTATCTTGTTATAAATTGTTAAAATCAGTTAATTTTCTGCTTCACGTCGGCTTGCTTAGCAAGTAGATGTTAGGTGCCATCATGACCCTAAGGTTGGGATTCCAGGTCATGACAGTAACTGCCATTGAAGATCTAAGAGAACCCTTGTGACCTAAGGGAACTGGATGTAGGTACCATACTGGTACACAAACCAGTATAAAAATCTATGTCTCTCCTATTCATTTTTCATTACTTGCCTTTACTTTTATTTGGTATACTAACTACTGTCTGCAGAATCACGATAGTGAACTACGAGCCATGTTAGTCGACTAAAAGAAATTTTACAATTCACCCCCTCTTGTACTTTCAATTGGTATCAGAGCAGGTCTCACACTCAGAGGAAAACATTTGCTTAACAGCAAAGTGATAAAAGTTCATGGGATCAAACACTATTGTTGGAGCACTATTTCAAGAAGGAACCTCACAAGTTAGACCACCTTACTTCAATGGACAATATTTCTTACACTGGAAAGTGCGCATGGAAACTTATGCAAAGTCATATGATATCAAAGTCTGGCGTGTAATAAAAAAGGGAGATCTTCTCATGCCACCATCAAAGAAGGATAAAACTACTAAAGGCCAGGTATCTTCTGAACCATTAGACCTAGATGATTATACTGACTAACAATCTACTGTGGTGCAGGTTTATGCCAAAGCCAAGGACCTTTTACATAATGTAATAAGTGGTGAAGAATACAAAAAGATCTCAAGTTGTGAAACTGCGAAGGAAATATAGGACAAGCTAGAAGTTACTTATGAAGGAACAAACAAAGTCAAAGAAACAAGAATAAATCTACTAGTTCGTGACTATGAACTATTCCAAATGAAAGATAAAGAATCAATAGAAGAAATGTTCTCTCGATTCAGCAAAATTATTGGAGACCTGAAATCCTTTGGTAGACCAATCAAAAGTGGAGAACAAGTCAGGAAAATACTAAGGAACCTACCTACCATTCTGCAAACCAAAGTCATTACATTGAAATGTCTGGATCTCGACAAGATGTCATATGATGAACTCAGAGGTGTTCTAATTACCTTTGAGAAAACTTATTTGGGCAGACAAATACAGTAAGAAAAAAGGAAAACTGTTGCATTTAAAGTAACAGTGGGTGAGTCATAAAACGAAGAAGAAGAAGAAAAAGTTGGAGAACAAGATGAGAACATAGCTATGCTTTCTAAAGTTGTAACAAGCATGATGAGAAGAAACTGAAATAGTAGAAGAGGCAACCAAATTTCAGAAAAGGGCGAGTAGGGAATGAGAATGACAAAATGAAGGATGATGATATGAATATGGAAAACACAGACACATTCAAGCAGAATGCCCTGAATTGAATAAGAAAATCAGTAGAAATTATCAAAAGAAGAAATCATTTGGAGCGTAGAGTGATGAAGAAGAATCTGATCATGAGAAAATTGCCAACATGTGTTTCATGGCAATCAAAGAAGACAGTGATGAAGATTTTGATGAGCTTGTCCTCATGGCAAACGAAGGAACAAGTGAGGTATGTTAGCCTATGTGTCCTAAATGTAATGAACTTCAAGATATTTCTCTTGCATACATTGAGAAAGTTCTACATGAACTTCGAAATATTCAAAGATAAAAGAAAAACTAGGGCACTGAAACTAGAAGTATGTGAAATTGAAAGAGACATGCTTCAAGAAGAAGTTCATGAACTTCAACTACAACTGAACAGATTGCGAAAATCTATCAGTCACAGTTCCATCAAATCAAACCAGTCAACTTTTTATAAAAACTCATTTAGGACAAGAAATCATTGTGCATGCATTCATTGTGGCAAAGGTGGTCACAACTCTAACCATTGCAGATTTAGAAATGGTAGAGAAAAGGCTTCTGAAAGTTTTAATGATCCATCTTGTTTTTATTGTGGAAAACCTGGTCATACATCTAACCATTGCAGGTTTAAGAACAATAAAAGGTGGGTTTGGCAACCCAAGGCCTCAAGTCAGGCTAATAGTCAGAAAACTAACAAACCAGGACCCAAGCAGGCTTGGGTACCTAAAAACAAGTAATTTGTTGTTGCAAAAACACCGCAACAAGAATCGAAGAGGAAAATAGTATCTTGATAGCGCATGTTCTAGACACATGACTGGTGACAAACAATTGTTCAAAACTGTCACTAAAATGGATGGCGGATCATTCACCTTTGGAGACAAATCAAAAGGAAATATAATTAGAGTTGGAAGCGTCCCCCTCAGCTCATCATGTGATGTAGACGAAGTCTACCTGGTAGATGAACTTGGTTACAACTTACTCAGCATCAGTCAACTATGTGATAATGACTATGAGGTTTGTTTTAAAAAGCATGGTTGGATTATTGAAGATGAATCAGGTAAAACCATTCTATCCGAAAATAGAGATAGAAATGTCTATATTCTCAGTAATATTGATAGTTTGGGAAACCAACTCTGTCTAGCTTCTATGATTGATGATACTTGGGTATGGCATAAAAAACTTGGTCATGCTAGCATGCATATTATTCAAAAACGTTCCGAATGGGATATGATCATTGGTCTCCCAAAACTAGATTTTTCAAAGGATCAAATTTGCAATGCATGTCAATTAGGAAAACAAACCCTGTCCTCCTTCAAAGTCAAAGACATAGTCTCTACTACAAAACCTCTTCAGCTTTTGCATATGGACCTCTTTGGTCCAACCAGAACTGCTAGCATTAGTGGTAGAAAATATGCTTTTGTTATAGTAGATGATTTTTCTCGATTTGCCTGGGTTATTTTTCTGAGTCATAAAGATGAAGCATTAAGGAATTTTGAAGTCTTCTGCAAGAAGGTACAGTGGGAAAAGGGATATTACATCTTTGCCATAAGGAGTGATCATGGAGGAGAATTTGAAAGCAGCACATTTGAAAATTTCTGTAATGACCAAGGAATCTCTCACAACTTCTCATCTCCCAGACTGCCTCAACAAAATGGAGTGATAGAACACAAAAATAGAACCCTGTATGATTTGGAAAGAACCATGATTGTGGAATATTCTCTTCCACACCACTTCCGGACAGAAGCAGTAAGCACCGCATGTCACATCATTAATAGATGTCTGGTACGACCTATTCTCAAAAAGACTCCATATGAGCTATGAAAAGGTAAAAGACCCAACATCAGTTATTTTTATTCATTTGGTTGCAAATACTTTATCCACAACAATAGAAAAGATAACTTTGGTAAGTTTGATCTAAAAAGAGACGAAGGTATTTTTCTTGGATACTCTCCCTCAAGTAGAGCATATAAAATTTTAATAAACGAACTTTATCTATTGAAGAATCCATATATGTTGTATTTGTTGATGCTAACCCTCGCTTGGGGAATGAAAAACTTCCTAATGACGAGGAAATTGCCATAGTTCCAAAGTCTGTTCATCCAGTTGAGGACATTCACGATGAGGCGACTAATCATCATTATCTATCGACTGACAGTCACATAGAAAATCAGGAATCACTTACATCTGAACAAACAACTCTTATCAAAAAAGAGTCAGCTTCAGCTGTCCCAAATGAATGGAAAAGTGAACCTGGATATCCATATGATAAAAATAAATTCATCATTGGTAATCCTCAACAAGACATAAAAACTAGAAGATCTCAAAAGAAGACGTCAAATATTGCCCTCATCTCATAATTTGAGCCAAAAAAGGTAGATGAGGCTCTTGGAGATAATAGCTGGATAAATGCAATGCAAGAGAAACTTAATCAATTCGAGAAGAATAAGGTATGGAAGCTTATCCCTAAACCCCCTAATGCATCTATTGTTGGAACAAAGTTGGTTTACAAGAACAAGCTAAATGAGTCTGGCCAAGTGGTACGGAATAAAGCTAGACTGATTGCTCAAGGATACTAGCAACAAAAGGGAATTGACTATGAGGAATTCTCTCATTTTGCCAGGTTAATGTCAATTCATATACTATTAGCTTATGCTGCTCACAAGTTCTTTAGACTGTTTCAGATGGACATGAAAAATGCTTTCTAAAATGGATTCATTTATGAGGAAGTGTATGTTAAGCAACCCCCTTGATTTATAAATGAATCACTTCCAAATCATGTCTACAAGCTATCCAAAGCTCTATATGGGCTGAAGCAAGCTCCTAGAGCATGGTATGAAAGGATAAGTTCATTTCTAGTCAAACATGGGTTTGATCGAGGTAATATTGACACTACTCTCTTCATTAAGCGTTAAGACGAAGGTAATTTAATTTTACAAATTTGCGTTGATGATATTATCTTTGGAAGTACTAACTCAGAATTATGCAAGGATTTTTCAAACATCATGAAAGGAGAATTTAAAATGAGCATGATGGGAGAATTAACATTCTTCCTTGGGCTACAAATCAAGAAATCCCAAAAAGGGATCTTTATTAGCCAGACTATGTACACAAAAGAGCTCATAAAGAAATTTGGCATGTCTAATGCCAAAGCCACAGGGACTCCCATGAGTCCATCAACTACCCTTGATGAAGATAGAAATGGTAAGAGTATTGATGAAACAATGTATCGAGGTATGATCGGATCTCTACTCTATCTTATTGCAAGTCAACCTGATATCATGTTTAGTGTCTGCAAGTGTGCAAGGTATCCGTCAGCTCCCAAAAAATCTCATTTAACTGTAGTTAAATTAATTATCAGATATCTGATAGGGACATCTAACTATGGACTATGGTATGAAAGCTTAAATGTCTTTGATCTCAAAGTTTTTTCAGATGTAGACTTTGCAGGGGATAAAATTGTCCGGAAAAGCACAAATGGAACGCGCCAATTACTTGAAAAATCTATCTCTTGGCACAACAAGAAACAAAGTTATGTTGCCTTGTCTACCACTAAAGCAGAATACTTGGCCGTAGGCAACTGCTGCCCACAAATTCTATGGATTATGCGCCAACTTTTAGACTATGATTTGAATCTCAATTGTGTTCCAATTATGTGTGATAACACTAGTGCGAGCACCTAAGTTTTGACCATATTTGATTTTCATCACTCTTTTTTAGTATGTAGATATATTTTAAGTTTAATCTACATAGTTTGGCACTCTAGGATTTATTTAAAACAATTGAAAACCACAAAAAAAAATCACATTTTTAGTACTAGTTTTAGTTTTAATTTACAAAAAAAAGAGAAGAAAAATAAAAAAATGTATCTTCTTTTAATCTAGTATTTTAATAAATAAGTTATTTACATTTACTCTAGTTCATTAAATTATTTTAGTCTAGAAATAGTTACTGATTTTCTCCTTTTGACTTTAACTCTAAAAGAAAAAGAAATAAATAGGAACCTTGCATACACAAAAGAAAAACGTAGCTTCTTACCTCACTAGTGACACTGCCATAGAGTACTAAAAGCCATCCCTAAACCAGCCAATAAATATCACTCAAACCTCACAAAAATTCAGCGATAAAGGCATTATCTTCCACCCTCAAAACCAGTCTTTAAACCCCATGAAAAGCTGGTCACTTTCAACCATAAAATAGTCCAAAAAGTAATAAAAAATGCAGATGCGTCATGCGATAAAAACACAGTTGCTGCCTATCTTTTTTCTCCAAAAATGACCTCCCTCGGCCCGAAAACCCAGCTGAAAACTAGCTATTTTCACACCTCTAAACCCCTCTTTAAACCCAGCCAAAGCAGTCACAAAAACGAGCCTTCAACCTCCATTTTTGGACAGCCGAACACTCCATCCATTTTCCTCTAGATAACAGCCTTCAAACACCATAAAAATCAACTGAAATACCTCTGATAAACACCATTAAAAAAGCTCCAAAATCTTACATTAATCCTGTTGAAGCTTTGTGCTCGAGGTCGTTGCCGGCTCGAGATTTCCATAGTGGTCTCCGGGTGACGGGTCTGTTCATTTTGAACCTTATCGATGTGTTCTTCTTGTAAACTAGTTGGAAGATCTTTGATGTTCTGAAAGTTATAAAAGGTCCACTTCTTTACATTCATCTTGTTTTCTTCCATTTTGTTAGTTCAGCGAATGCTTGTTCATTTCGTCATCGCTATATGCTAACATGCTTCTGGTTTGTTGCCTTGATTAGTTTATCCATTTTCATGATGGTTATTGTTTTGTAGATTTTCTTTGTGATAATAAATCTGGTAAAGTGGGAACTTGTAGTTCTACTTTATTTACAACTAGAAGCTTTAGGCTGAATTTGATTAGCCACTCACTGGGCCATGAGTTTGAGTTGAGAACGAATTGACCTGTGTTCATTAGTATAGTAGTTAAATTAGAATTAATGTATGTTCTATCAAATTGTTTGTCGAATTTGAGATAGGATTTTAAAATATTGACTTGAATTGGAAGTAGTAATTAATGTTAGGGGAAATTAGATTACATGAAAAGACAATGGAGCTGACCCAAATGCAAATAAGAATAAGTGTCATCCCTTTCCACGAACGCTTGTATGCTTTTAGGCATGCCCCTAAATAATCAAATTTATCGTGATTATGTATACGTTCGCGTGACATAATTACGGTTTCCAAAATTAAAATCAAGGTATGCGTTCACGCAACTTTGGGCGAAATAATCTTAATTAAAATTAAATACTATTAATTGTGTACACGTACGCGTGACATAATTTTAGCGCCCAAAATACAACGGATTTACACACACGTGATCCGTTTCAAAGATAAATCCATAACGCCATAATTAAAAGCGGTAAAAAAGAAAAATATACGTAGGTTCTAAAATACGTAATTAAATAATTAATTAAGCAAGGTATGATTAAAGCGACCGTGCTAAAATTACAGAATTCGGGAGTGCCTCACACTTTCTCCCGGGTTAACAGAATTCCTTACCCAGTCTTCTGTGTTCGCAAGCCATAAATAAGAATCAATTTCCTCGATTTGGGATTTTAAAATAAACCGGTGACTTGGGACAGCATAATAATTATCCCAAGTGGCGACTCTAATTAAATAAATAATTCCATTTCGAATAATATCACTTTAATTGGAAAAATTCCCTATTCCTCAAAAAACGGAGGTGTGACAGCTCTGGCGACTCTGTTGGGGACAAGAACTCAGAATCTCTGGTTCAGGGTTCAGAATTCGAGCTTGTAATGTGATCTATACTTGGCTTTCTTGATTGTTGATATTACTGTATTTGTGGGCCTAATGTGCTAATTGCTGCTCATTTACCGCTTTGATATTATTTGGACTGTATAAACTGTCTTCTTACGCCTCCCTTCTGAGTCTTCTGAAACTATGATGCACACGTACGCGTGGCCCACTTTTTTGTTAGAGGTCATACCAAATAGAACGAGGCTAGATCAACGACTAGGCCGGTTAGACTTTCGTGCTCCTGGTACATTACCCACACCTCGGCTCAAGCTGTCCGCGTAAGCTAGGTCTAAAATACACCCTTAGGATTTTAAACCTAGAATAACATAGCCTCATGCTGGATCCCTAGTAGGAACGTTTGTTTTCATCACGTGCATTTGACTTTGGGGACTCAACACAGGGGTTGGGTCCGTCTAGGACATGTATACCCAAAATAAAAGACCATCCTAATGCATCCTACGTGCTACTTGTGCATTTTGTTTGATATAGTTTGCATATTGACCGGCTTCTAGAATAAGTACAGAAAATTAAAAAAAGCAGGAGTGAGAAAATTCATCTGGTTTCCAAAAATCCCGGTATTTGAAAAATCCTGAAACTCTGCCGAAAGTTTGAAAAAAAAAGAAAAGGAAAGAAAGAAAGTGTGATTTGGGTCATCTTATATTTTAGAACTCGAATCTGCACTCTTAAGCCTTAAAAATCTCATTTTTACCCTCCTCGATTTGCGCGCACAATCCGGACAGGTTTTCGAAAAGCTTTTATGTTGAAAACTAATGAAAATAAGAATTTTTGCCTTAAAAGTTAATTTTAGTTGACTTTGGTTAATAGTTTTGGTAAACAGGCCCAGATTCGTGTTTTGACGATTATGGTGGGTCCGTATCGAATTATGGGACCTGGCGTATGCCCAGAATTAAATTCGGAGGTCCCTAGCTCATGTTATGAATTTTTGATGAAAATTAAAAGTCTGAAAATTAATTATTTTCAAGAATTGATTGATGTTTGGCATTGTTAGTACCGGGTCTGTATTTTGGTTCTGGAGCCCGGTATAGGTTCATTATGATATTTAAGACATGTCTGAGAAATTTGGTGAGAAACGAAGTTGATTTGACGTGATTCGGACCTTCGGTTGAGAAAATAGTAATTTTAAAGTGTTCTTGACAATTTCATTCGATTTTGTGCTAAATTCGGAGTTCTAGGTGTTATTTTGGCGATTTGATCATGCAAGCAGGCCTGTATGATGTTTTTAGACTTGTGTGCATGTTTGGTTTGGAGCCCCAAGGGCTCGGATGAGTTTCAGATAGGCTACGAGGTGATTTGCACTTAGAAAATCTGAGATTTTTGCTGCAGCAGCTGTTCTAGTGTGCTCTTCTTCGCGTTCGCGTAGGGAGTGTCGCGAACGCGAAAGGTAAAATAGGGGCAGGGGAAATTTCTTCTTCACGAACGCGAAGCGTTGGGGGTGGTACCCTTCGCGAACGCGATCTGTCTCACGCGAACGCGATAGTTTAGGGGACCTGGGGGAGGGGGTCATGTTCTTCTACGCGAACGCGTCCACTGGGTCGCGAATGCGAAGGCTTGGGGGGAGCTTCCTTACGCGAACGTGTAGAAAGACTCGCAAACGCGAAGGCCTTAGACCGTTGTGCATCGCGATCGCGACAGGCCTCTCGCGAACGCGATGAAGGCCTATCCAGTGACTTATAACAGACTCCAAACACGGGTTTAAGCCATGTTTTCAATATTTTTCAAGAACCAAACGGGTAGAGGCGATTTTCAAGAGTCATTTTCTTCCCCAAAGTGTTGGTAAGTGATTCTAAACCATTTTCTTTCAATTACCCATTATATTTCTTGAATTATCAACCTAAAATCTAGAGTTTCATGGTAGAATTAGGGGTTAGGGTAGAAACTAGGGATTTCGAAAATTTGAGGTCGGATTCCAAACTAATTACATATTCGAGCTCGGGGGTGAATGGGTAAAAGGATTTTGGTCCGAACCTCGAGTTTTGACCAAGCGGGCCTGGGGTCAATTTTTTGACTTTTTGGAGGAAAATTTGGGAAATTTAATTTATGCAATATAATTGATTCCTTTAGCAATATTTGATATTATTGAGTCATTTTTGAATAGATACGAGTGGTTTGGAGGTGAATTCCAAAGGAAAAGCTGTGATTGAGAATTAAGTGGCCTTCGGAGCGAGGTAAGTGTACCCTGACTTGAGGGAATTAGGAACCTTAGATTACTTGCTAAGTGAAATCCATGTGAGCGGCGTATATGTGAGGTGACGTGTACTTATGCGTCGCCAATTTACCTGTTTTCCATGTTTCTCTTTTTTTTTTATATTGTCTCATTCCTATGCCAAATTGCTACGTGTTATACTAGTGTTGTTCAAT